GTTCTTTTGGACTGAAGCATGCAACACCCGCTGAGTGCCATGAAACAGCTTGAAAGATCAAAGACAATTTTTAATAAAACTCCGACTGGATTCGTCTGAAAGAAGAAAGTCATATACACCTAGGATGACTTGAGGGTGAGTAAAACGAAGCCTAATTTTCATTTTTGGGTGAACTAACCCTTTAAAGCACCTCGAGAGCCATTCGAAAGCATCGGGAGCGTCTGCTCTCTAGAGCTCTCACGGTACTGTGATGTCACATCAAAGCTGCTTCCAGTCGAACACGCCTCTTATTATAGTGTTAGGAGCATGGCCCCGCCCAAAAATCCTGAACACAAACAGTTGACACCCTCCAGCTCTTAAAGCATCATGTTTCCTTCTTATTATATACACATAATCTGTTCATGTCTCTTTGTCTCTCAGATGTGTGACTGTAGGACTCTGAGATCCGTCTTCACACACTGAGGACAGCCGAGGGACTCGAACGCAACCGCTACGAAAATCCACAAATGTTCATGCTCCGTGCATTAAGAGCTTTTAAAGCTTATAAACTTTTGATAAGGATGTGTACATTTTTCTAATTTTGTTTAAAGATTATATTTTAAAGATTAGGTTGTGGCTCTGCCCTTCAGAAGCTACATAAAACACTTAAAACAAAGATGTTTCCCAGAAAACAATAACTACAATTTACCCTGGTTATCCATTTCATAGAGTTGACACCCTCTGGCTCTCGAAGCTTCATGTTCCCTTGCTATTATATTTACATAATCTGTGTGTGTCTGTGTGTCTGTCAGATGCCTGTCTGTATCAGTGTGAGGATATGGAGGAGGATTTCACCGGAGAACTGAAATATGACACAGCGGTACGTTCACAACACACACACACACACACACACACACACTGATGTGAATAAGTATGTGTTTGAGTTTGAAGAAGTCCGGCTGTCAGAGGCTGAGGAATCAATCATTACCCGTCACAGTCTCCGTTGTAAATGTTTGTCACGCTCTCTGTCTCTTCAGAGCCACCTGATCTGTTCTCACAGAGAGACACAGAAAAGCTCATTCCTCAGTCTGTCTAAGCATCCCCATCAACACACTTTACTGGGGGAATGTTTACAGTGCAGGTGTTTTAATCAAATAAATAGGCTGAATAGCTGTGACATTTTATTTCCATTAGCAACAGACTCCAGGAAATACTGTCCTGAAAATGTGGCATAATAAGAGGAACACAGCAGGAGAGTTGTAGTGTTTGGCTGCTATAAACTAGTCCGTGATCATGAAACTGAGTGAATATGCACACGGCTGTCTCTCTCTCTCTCTCTCTGTCTGTCAGCTGGACAGTGATCTTGTCCTCACGCTGGACCCTGATAACCCCACATCACCGTGGAAGAACCTGGATGACAACCTGACAGGTGAGACGCCAGCACTTCCTCTGGATCATACCATCATTTCATTGCTTCCTCCAGCTCAGTGGTTCTCAACCTCTTTCACTCCTATTGTCAAAGAAATTATTTGAAGGTCCATATTAAAATAGTTCACAAATGAGTGAATTTCAGTTTCAGAATTTGCTGTAATTAAGCATTACAACATAACACCAGATACATATAATAAAATGTAATAGAAACGGCTAAATATAGGACGCGAGTACTGTAACAGCACACACACACACACACTCACACACTCACACACACACACTCTCTCTCACACACACACACACACACATGTCTGGTTTGCTATCCTTGTGGGGACTCTCCATAGGCGTAATGGTTTTTATACTGTACAGACCGTATATTCTATTGCCCTACACCAACCCTACACCTAAACCTACCCCTCACAGGAAACTTTCTGCATTTTTAGATTTTCAAAAAAACTTAATTCTGTGTGATTTATTAGCTTGTTTACCCGTGGGGACCTCAATTTAGGTCCCCACCGTGACACGAGTCCCCATGAGTCTGTGTGTATTCAGGTTTAAGTCCCCACCAGAATAGAAAAACAGGTACACACACACACACTCACACTCTCACTCACACACTTTTATAAAATAAAGAAATCAAACATGATGCGCTTTCTGCCGTCTCGGTCTTGAACAGGAGCGCTTCACAAAAATGAACCGAAACTCAGCGAATACATGCCTCACAGACATGATAAATATATCTATAGAAAGCTTTAAATTACTGCTTAACGAAATAAAACAAATCAAAAACAAAAACTCTTTCATTATGATCATAATCCGTAAAGATGCACTTCTCTCTAAAGGCGCGTCTAATGAAGAGATGGCGAGTCAGGATCGACAACTTCATCCTTGCGACACCGACTCAGAAAACATTAGTAAATAATTCAAATATCTCCTTACTGTTTCCCCCTGACACATTTATGGTAATTACTTTTGCCCAAGCTTTGCGGCAAACTTAAGCCTATTGCGTGCATTTGAACGCAGAACTCTTCAGCTGCGCTGACGGCTCACTCGCTGCTGCTGCTGCTGAACATTAAACACCGTCGAACCGGTCTTACAGTCGCGGCAGCACGGTCTCCTGTTGTTTCCACCAGCGCGGCAATCTTTTTTCATCACTAATTGATGGATGTCTAAAATATAAAAATAAGGAGAAGCCTAAAACAGGCCCGAGGCCCTGCCCGCGTCTGAACTATGACGTGTAAATTGTCCTGAAGCCCAGCCCGAGGGGCTGAAATGCAGGGCTCTAGCTCTGATCTAGCACACAGAAAACGATTTGACTGAAAATTTATGAGAAGAGATGAAAGAAAGATAGTGGTCATCTGCGCAATTCGGAAAAAGAGGCAGCTTTTCTGCATTAGGTATGTTTAAAAGTGAAACCCCGCCTATGATACACACACACACACACACACACACAGAGGAATTCACTCTGTAGAGAGAGCGCAGGAAGACCACGCACAAATGAAACCGATCACTCCATCTTGAGACTGGCTCTTTAAAAGCAACACCTATCAAACTGTTTGCGCTAAAAATAAGATTCTTAAGAACATTTCAAGAGTTGCACTTCATAACATTCTTACAAACGTCTTGGAATATATATTTTAGGAAATGTCTTAACTTATTTCTTAAGAAGAACATTATTAAATGTGTGTGGTTGAACGTGGCAGACTAACAGGCGGTCTTGCATGCAGGTTTGTAATACGGAGAGTGTGCAGTTTATTGGCTTTTTTCAGAAGGACTCTGACCTGCAAACAGTTGTGTTTAACTGCTACTGTAAACTGGGCTGTGTTTCTCTATGTTATTATTTGTTAAGAAAGAGTAAATAATAACCCAATCCCTCTCTGTTTGTGTTTTGTCCTTATTTGTAGGTGAAGTGTCAATCATGAAGGATTATAACAGGACTATAACACAGCCTCTGCCAGTGGACATGTGTAAGTGACCCTGTCTGCACGCTTCCCCATGCAGTTTTCTTTTTTTTTATTATTATTATTATTATGTATGTATGTATGTATTTATTTATTTTCAGTAGGATGCCAAACCTCATTAATAGTTCTAGGTAATGCATTAGAATAGTTGTAGATGATCATTACAGATGATTTCATCTTCAGACAGTGTGAGTTTTGCCACAGTGCATGTGAGTAAGTTGTGTGTGTATGTGTTGTAGTTTTCCAGGTGAAGACTGAACCTCCGTCACCTGCGTCGTCTCTGACCTCTGACAGCTCCATCTCATCTATACCTGAAGCTCAGGTGTGTACAGCTCTGTGTCTGTCCCTCAAGACAGTGCAGCTCTGCGGCAGGCTGTGAAACAGTACTTTTATGTGTAAATGAAATATTTCAAGTAGTTAAAGAGATGAAGGGAGGATTCAGTAGTGTTTAATGCATCTCTGTTTGCTGTCGTTAACATTGTTTCCTCCTGCGGTCTTCAGTGCGGCTGAGCAAACATCAGGACACTCATCTGGCTCTTCTGGTCTTCATTTCTCTGTTTCTCTGTCTTTCTCAGGTGACGGTGAAGAGTGAGAACCCGCCCACTCCACCGTACATGTATGGAGACGTGCTCTTGCCGCCGCTGACCAGCGTGGAGGTAACCGTCACCAGCGTCTCTCCACTGCATCAGCCTCCCCTTCCTCTGGCCATACAGCCACACGCTCTCAGCAGCCTCGACACACAAACCACAGGTCTGCACACACACTCCACCTCACACAAACACACACATACACTCCACGTCACACACACACTCCACCTCACACAAACACACACACGCACACACACACAGAGACACACACTCAAACGCGCACACACACACACTCAAACTCGCACACACACACTCTCACACACACACACACACACTCCATGTCACACACACACGTACAGAGACACACACTCACTCACTCACACTCTCACACACACATACACTCCACCTCACTCTCACACTCACTCACTCACTCACTCTCTCACACTCTCTCACTCACACTCTCACACTCTCACACACACACACAC